AAATATTTCACTCTCTTGTTCTATGTGAACACTGAAACATGAGGACTAGTGGATCTGATAAAAAGTCCTTCAATCCCTAGCTTTTTCTTTATGAAATATTTCTATTTCTTCTTTTGAAAAGAAGCTCAAAAAAATATACCCATTTCTTGAAATGGTTATTATGCTTTTGGCTCAATTTTTATAAACTCAAATCCTTTTTTATTATAGTCATTATCAGTGACGGAACTAGGAAACTAAATCAGAAAGGGCACTTCTTGATTACAACTTTAATTTTTTTTCCCATAACCAACAATAAGAAGATAATAATAATTTTTGAAGTAATATTAAGTACAAAAACTTAAATAAATCATTACAAAAGTATTTCACATAAAATTTTATAATTAATTTCGAGTAAAATCAAAAAGAAAGTATTGCGTGTAACTAGTGTATCATGGACAATGTAAAAACAGTCATATATTTAAGTCTTAAAATAAATTATATAATGGTAAGATAAATCAAATTTTTAAAATTTGATTAAAATTTTCATATAATAGTGATATCACGTCATTATTAACATATGATATCACCGACTAATAGTAAAGTAAAATATGAAAGGTGAACCCCCACATGCAAATATAACTAACACTTTTAGAAATTTTTACATATATATAATTAGATTAATTGTATTTGCATATCAATAATGTAATGACGGATATTACCTTATATTGAGATTTTTTCATAAAATTTTCATACATAAGAATATAATTTGTTATAGTCACTTCATTTTCAATAAAACAATCACTATTGTTTTCATAAATTTAAAAATGCTATTAACATGTTATTCTAAATATTATTTTTGTTTACAATTTTATTTATATACATATGTAAAAAAAAAAAAAATCAAAAATCTAGGAGGGGCATGTGACCTCTCTAAGCCCCATGTGGCTCCACCACTGGTCATTATTGTTGTTGTAGTAAATGGTCACATATTTAGGTAATATTCTTAATCAATGAGATAGTATATAAGAAATAAATGGAACTGACTTTATCTTCCATCCAACCGACTAAGGTGCGTCAAGTAAGCTCCAGTTATCTATTAATATTGCTCTTATTAGTTCGGAGCACCAACATAAGTTTAGAAATTCTAAATAATTATTCATAACCAATCATATCTTCGTTTGGATTGAGGAATTTCAAATGAGGGTTTTGATGGTGAAACTTATAAATATATAGGAGATTGTGCTACAATTATAGGTGAATTGAAAACTAAAAGACTAGAAATTTAGAGATATCCAAATACATTATTACAAATTTTACAATAATGGTAGAACTAGAATCCTTCATTAGCGTGAAGGGTTTTAAATAGTTACTTTTACGTTGTTATGTCAAATTCGGTTGTCAAATTCAATTTTGGATTAAAATTTTAAATAAAGATTTATGGAAGAAAAAAAAAAGATATGGTTAAATTATTTTCACTTTGCCTTTCTATTTTAATTTCCTTTTATAAATGCTACACCTAATCAAAATTCTTAACATATATATATATATATATATATTTTAATTTTGAACACAATTGAGTTAGTTTCATCGGTTTGGATTTTTCCAAATTGTCCATCCAACTTGAGAGAAACAATTAGACTTAGTGGGCCCATTTTGAAGTTTACAATAATTCAAATCATTTATTTGTAAAGACTCATTAAATAAGACTTATTTAATAGGGAGCTTTTTTGATAAATCTTTTTTCTAAGAGTTTTATTCCATCTAACTCATATTTTTTTTTATTATTCATTAAGTCCTATTTGAGGTAAGAAGACCAAAATACAATTTTCATCTACTTATATTCTATTTAGTCCACATTATTTTCTTATGTTTCAATAAGTCGTACGGGTGACATAATTACCAAAATACCCCTAATGTGAATGTTCACATCGTCAATGTGAATGTTCACACTGTCAACGTGAATGTTCCTATTTGAGGTAAGAAGACCAAAATACCCTTTTCGTCTACTTATGTTCCATTTAGTCCACATTATTTTCTTATGTTCCAATAAGTTCTATGGGTGACATAATTACCAAAATACCCCTAATGTGAATGTTCACATCCTATGGGTAACATAATTACCAAAATACCCCTAATGTGAATGTTCACACTGTTAATGTGAATGTTCACACCGTCAATGTGAATGTTCCTATTTGAGGTAAGAAGACCAAAATACACTTTTCATCTACTTATGTTCTATTTAGTCTACATTATTTTCTTCTATTTCAATAAGTCCTATGGGTGACATAATTACCAAAATACCCCTAATGTGAATGTTCACATCCTATGGGTGACATAATTACCAAAATACCCCTAATATGAATGTTCACACTATCAATGTAAATGTTCACACCGTCAATGTGAATGTTCATATCATCAATGTATAGGGGCTCGGCTCAGCCCGGACCGGGGCCAACCCATATAAAGCCTCGTGGGTGCTTGCCAAAATTCGGGCCGGGCCGGACCGGCCTACGGGCCAAAAAATTAGGCCTATGCCCTAGCCCTGGCACAAAGGTATTTAGGCTTTGGGTGCCCCGGTGGGTCGAGCCAAGGGGCTTGGGCCTAGACTTGGGCTTGGGTTGGGCTTGGGTGAGCCTCGCCATTTTTTTTAATTCTTTTTAATTTTTTCTCCTAAAATTTTATTATTTTCCACAAAAAAGACACCGGGCCTCTGGCGAGCCGGGCCTCGGGCCGAGCCTTAAATGAGCCTTATGCGGGCCGAGAATCAAAGTGATGGCCCAGGTCCTAGCCCAAGTTCTCGGGCTGGGCTCAAGCCCAGGCCTAAACGAGCTTGCCCCGGGCCACGGGAGGGCTTCGGGTAGCCCACGGGCCGCGGGCTAATTTTACACTTCTATCAATGTGAATATTTACATTGACATGTGAATATTCACATTGTCAACAGATCGAACCCGCTCCGGGCCGCGGGCCAATTTTACACTCCTATCAATATTAATGTTAACATGTCAATGTGAATATTCACATTGTAAACGGGCCGGGCCCTCATGCGAGTTTCGGGCCACCTACGAGCCGCGGGTCAATTTTACACTCCTCTCAACGTGAATGCTAATATGTTAATGTGAATATTCACATTGTCAACGGGCCGGGCCGGACCTGCCCCAGGCAGCCCACGGGCCGCGGGCCAATTTTACACTTTTATCAATGTGAATGTTAACATATTAATGTGAATATTCACATTGTCAACAGACCGAGCCCGCCCTGGCCCAGGGGGGAGCTTCGAACCGCCCACAGGCCACGGGCCAATTTTGCATTCTTATCAATGTGAATGTTAAAATATGAATATTTACAGCCCACCTCGCCCCGGGCAACGGACGGGCTTCGGGCCACCCACAAGCCGCGGGCCAATTTTACACTCCTATAATGTGAATGTTAACATGTCGATGTGAATATTTATATTGTAAACGGGCCAAGCCGGGTCCGCGGGCGGGTTTCGGGCAGCCCACAGGCCACGGACGAATTTTACACTCCTATCAATATGAATGTTAACATGTCAATGTAAATATTCACATTGTAAACGAGCCGGGCCCGCGAGCGGGTTTCGGGCCGCCTACGGGCCGTGGGTCAATTTTACACTTCTATCAACGTGAATGTTAATATGTTAAAGTGAATATTCACATTGTCAACGGACTGGGCCCGTCCCGGGCAGCCCACGGGCCATGAGCGGGTTTCGAGCCTCCCACGGGCCGCGGGTCAATTTTACACTTCTATCAATGTGAATATTAACATGTCAATATGAATATTCACATTGTCAACGGACCGGGCCCGCCTTAGCTCGGGGGCGAGCTTCGGACCGTCCACGGGCCACGGGCCAATTTTACATTCTTACTAATGTGAATGTTAAAATATGAATATTTACAGCCCGCCCCGCCCCGGGCAACGGGCGGGCTTCGGCCCAGGGGCCGTGGGCCAATTTTACATTCCCATCAATGTGAATGTTAACATGTCAATGTGAATATTCACATTGTAAACGGACCAGACCGGGCCCGCGGGCGAGTTTCGGGTGCTTACAGGCCGCGGGTCAATTTACACTCCTATCAACGTGAATGTTAATATGTTAATGTGAATATTCACATTGTCAATGGGCCAGGCCGAGCCGGGCCCACCCCGGGCAGTCCACAGGCCACGGGCGGGTTTGTAAGGGTATCAAAATTAAATATAAGGGCATAAGAGTCTAAAAAAATAGTATAAATCAAGAAAAATGACTTTATAGAATAAAACTATACATACATGGGACTAAATGAGTTAATAAATTTCTTCCTGAACTTTTTGGATTAAAACATTTCTAAATGGGATTTATTAATAAAAATCCTTATTTAATAATGTGAATTTTATTGATTTTGTCTAGACATCTTCAGTTTCTAAATCTTTATTCCAAATATACTTTCAATTCTAAAATATGGTGAGAATTTCAAAGTACTACCATACAGCATTTTGATAATACTCGGTAATAAATAAATAAATAAATAATTAGGCACTTCAATTATGGCAATATTGGGTAAGCATCATATTTGCATGTAATCAATCAACCTGACAAGCCCTAAAAATAAATAAAAGCGAATGTGAATACAATGACAAATTTTGATAGGAAAAAAAATAGAAAAAGAAAGAGAGAGACGTCCAACGCGTCAAGTTCGAATAAAGGAAAGGCATCAAAGATAAGAGAAAGTTAACAATAATTCCTCCAATATTTTCAAGTGAAATGCAATCCATATACTATCCAATAAACTAACCCAAAGTCTAAAAAGTAACTCCACCAATCTCCAATGGTCCCACACGTCTTCACTAAAAAGAAAGTCACGCGTCACAGCTCTGTTATCATCATAAAAATTGATTATATAACTAAGTATAAAATATATTCTTATCTATTGACATATAAAAAAATCAAAAAATAATTTAAATGAAGACAATAAAAAACAGTAGCTTAATGGAGCAAAATCATCTATAAATACCAGAAGTGGAGCACAATAATAATTCTATGAATGAGAGACAACCCACAAACCATCCAAACCTTATTGACATTTGTTTACTTGTAAACAATGCAAATGCAAGTTTTTCATTTAGTTGTCTTAGTGATATTGGCAATGAGTGGTTTCAAAGTACAAGGCCAAGGATTGAAAACAGGTTTTTATTCTTCTTCATGCCCCAAAGCAGAGGCCATAGTCAAATCCACTGTTGAAGCTCACTTCAACAAAGACCCAACCATTGCTGCTGGCTTGCTCAGGCTTCATTTCCATGACTGTTTTGTTCAGGTACAACACAATAAAGCATGACCACAGGTATGGACACATAAGACAACGATCTTAAAAAATTAAGGCACGAACACGGTCAGTATTGCTATGTAACATTGATTTTTGTCCTAATAAAGATTGATTTTTCATGTGCTATAGGGTTGTGATGGATCAGTCTTGATTGTCGGAGCTTCAGCTGAGAGGAATGCCTTGCCAAACCTTGGTGTACGAGGTTTTGAAGTCATTGATGATGCAAAAACACAGCTAGAGGCCTTGTGCCCGGGGGTAGTCTCATGCGCCGACATACTAGCATTGGCTGCCCGTGATGCGGTTGACTTGGTATTTATTAGCAATGCTACATATACAGAAATAAATAAATAATTAATTATACGCCTTAAGTTTTCTATGCACGTAACTTTCACAAATATTATAAATGGGTGATGAATAAGTTCTTTTCTTTTCTTTTTTTTTTAATCTCAGAGTGATGGTCCAAGTTGGCCAGTGCCAACAGGAAGAAGAGATGGGAGGGTCTCATCATCATCTGAAGTCTCAAGTTTTTTGCCTTCTCCTTTAGAATCCATGGCAGCCCAAAGGCAGAAGTTCGCGGTTAAAGGCCTAGATGACCATGACCTTGTTACATTAGTGGGTATGCTCCATTTCTCTTCTAATGAGGCCTATTTGATCCCAAAAATTACGTTCAAAATGAATCTGAACCACTTCAATTTTTCTGTGTACTTTTCTATATATTTTTCCTGTGCATGTAGCATTCATGCTATTTGATCACTTACCATAATATTAATGAGAAAGTATAGTAACATATTTACTTTTATGTGGTATTTGTTTGTAGGGGCACATACCATCGGCCAAACAGACTGTTTGTTCTTCAAATACCGCTTGTACAACTTCACAACGACAGGCAATCCTGATCCAACCATAAACCAAGCATTCTTACAGCAATTACAAGCACTTTGTCCCAAAGACGGTGATGGCTCAAAGCGCGTGGCACTAGATAAAGATAGCCAATTCAAATTTGACGCTAGCTTCTTCAAGAACGTGCGCAATGGCAATGGGGTTCTAGAGTCGGACCAGAGGCTTTGGGGAGAAGCTGCAACACGCAACATCGTTGAAAATTATGCAGGGAACCTAAAAGGGTTATTGGGATTGAGGTTTGATTTGGAGTTTGCAAAGGCTATGATCAAAATGAGTAGCATTGAGGTGAAGATTGGGACACAGGGGGAGATTAGGAAGACATGCCCAAACTTCAATTAGCTAAATATGGAGTTGAGCAACGTGATGTGTAAATGGGCCACACTAAAAATGAATGTGATCTATAGAATATATTTTTTTGAGTATTATTTTAAGTAATTTTTTTAAGCATGGAGTATTGTTAGTAAGTTGTTTAGAGTATCAACAACTTGCAACCGGTTAAAGTTCGAGAAATATTTTGAAAAATTAAGAATGTGCTATATAAATTAATTTTTAAGTAAATTATAAATACATCTCCTACAATTTATTAAAAATAAAAATTCTCCACTCATGTTTGAAAAACTACATCTCACCTTTTGAGGTTACCAAGCACATAACAAATGGTCCATTCCCTTAAATCAAACTAACAAGGTGTATGACGTAAGTAATAATTTTTCTCAAAAACACCTATATTAACTTTTATGAAATTAAACACTGTTGCTCTATTTGGTTTGATTTTCAAAATCTAATTTTTAAACTTTTTTTTTTTGGAAAAAAATTGGAAACTAAATTAATGAAATAAAAAAACCAAAAAAACTCATCATTTTCATAAAATTTTATCTTATTTGGGTTCAAAAAATAATTTTTAATAATTTAAAAATATCTTTTTGGTATTTATTTTTGTTAAATTAATTTCTTTTTAAAAAATCAAAAAATTAATTATGAAATCGAAATTAAACAGTTTTTTTTTTTCTTTTTTTTTTTTCCTATCTCACCTTTATTCCACATTTTCTCTTAACGAGTAACACCACTCTCTCTCATTCTCAATTAGCACCACCGTCATTATTATCTACAAACATTTAGTGTGTCATCAAAAAGAGTTAGATAATAGGATTTTTTATTGATAAATCTCGTTTGGAGATGTTTTAACCCATTAAGTCCACCAAGGAAAATTATAATCTAATTAGTCCCATGTATTTATATTTTTATTCCATGAGGTCCTCATTTCCTGATTTATATTGTTTGTTAGACTATTATACTCTTATGTCTATTATTGATATGTATTACATAGAAAAACGATATATACATTTCCTTTTTGTTATCACCTTTATTTTGGTAGTTACCATTATTCACGTTCTTGTTTTTGTTTTTGTTTTTTTATCAAATTCATTCATATTTGTGGTATTGTTTCATTGTGCTTGGGTTTGAAACTCTCTATTTGGTAGGATTTTGAAGCTCTAGTTTACACATAGTGGTGAAATAAGATTATGTTTCTCCATTGTTGTGGTGAAACTTTGTGTTCCTCCATTGTCACTTTGTGTTCAAAGTTCTATGTTCATCCATTGTTGGTCTATGTTTGTCACGCCCCGAAAATAATCCATCATAGATATAATCCGTCAAATAACATTCACTAAATAGTCATAGCAATTTCCCAACCTTTACACTAAGAATTTTAAATGTTTATACAAGAGTTCCACATGCGAATTATATATTCAACGATAAAAGAACACATGAATCTATAGCATGTGAAGCATCTAGTCCCAAAACAATAAAATGCCCTGAAGGGCTTACATCTTCCAAGGCAATAGCCCGGTTACGCAAAATGGTCTCTCGGACCCATACACGTTTAGCCCTTGGCTTTACAAAATGTACAACAAAATAAGAGAGCTATTTATTCTTCGCAAAAAAATATCCACGCCCTTAGTTCAGCGGGATCACCACATCTTTACCTGTACCAAATCCCATAGGGGTGAGTATAGTGCCCAATAGAGAATTCCTTAACAAAGTATATGCATTTATGTAAGATATCCAATATTAAATGCAAATGCAAATGCAAATGCCATGCAATGCCATTTCAAAATAATCCCATGTCATGCTTTTCTAAAAAAAATCCCCATGCTTTCAATAACGTTTTGCAATCTCATTAATTTTCAAACTTCCAATTTAAACATAAAGGGTGGTAAATACGACTCAGGTAATCCCTAGGTTGGTGTCTGCAAGTAGGCTCATCAAGCACTACCAATAACCCCACTTTACCGGTTGCTAACCGGAAGGGTAGTGGTACCTCCTCCGCGCGTGTTTTCGGTCTTTCACCCCGGACACTCAGGCCAACTTAACAAATTCATCTACACCCCCTAACCAGACTTACCAACGTATTTACCCCAAAACATTTCTAAAGTTTCAATCACAATATTACATTTTCAATGGAAGTTCCGATTTTCAAAACCATTTCTTAATATATGCAAGGTATTCGTAATGTCAATGCAATAATCAAACATACTACTTTTTGTTTCTCTACATTGATCAAAAACATAGTTAACCTTCCATAGAGGTTCATAACCTCCATTTTCTCCTTTCCATGCCATTCCATCAACCAAGAGTTTGTCATTAAATACCCATGTGCCACAATAAAACCACACTTTGTGTTTCTTTCAACATGTCCCAAAATCTTTCATATAGTAAGAAATTCTTCATCAATGAAAATATATTTATTGTGTGGGTGATTTTCTGACCACACTGCCAAACAGATACCCAGCTGGAGAGCACCGACAGAATAAATTAAGCCTGAACGACCTACAACAGAAAGAAGAGTTTCCAGCGGTGGCTCGTCCACCCGGGGGCACTCCGACGATCAAGTCAGTACTCAATATCTCTTAACGATAACCAATAGTGCTTAACTCACTAGACAGAATATCAAAAGCATACCTTAGATCCATGAGGGTGCCTCCCTTTTATAACCAACATAATCCTAGTCCCAATAGAAGCTTAGCTCTAATGGACTTAGGATTACTGCTAATCTTGGACTCCCAGTAGAATTAGGATAAACTCTCTAAGAGTCTTATCTGTACCCAAACTGAAGTCTTCTCCCATTCTAGGACTCTTGTCCCTTATTCGCTTATCTCGGATTCCAGTATTCTCGCAGATAACCTCGGCCTAGCCGAGATTACCTAGGCATCATGACCAGGACACGTGGCACCTCGGCTGGCACTTCGGTGACACCTCGGCCACGTGTTGTCATTCAAAAATTATGTCCCCACAACTGCCTCCTAGGTTTTATTACCTCGGCATCCTGAGGTGATGGAACCTATATCATTCCTTCCTTTAATCATGACCCCGGTTTAATTTCAACTTGTAAACTTTTCTCAAGTTTCAACAAGTGTTAAACATCATCTCGGTTTAACTTCAACTTGTAAACTTTTCACAAGTTTCAACAAGTGTTAAACATCATCTCGGTTTAACTTCAACTTGTAATCTTTTCTCAAGTTTTAACAAGTGTTAAATATCATCTCAGCTTACTCTTCTCTTCTCGGACTTAATCATCTTAGGCCGAGATCTTGTCTTCTGGGATCTGAGATCCGAGATCTAGAATCCGGGATCAGCTTACTTGGGCTGAGCTCTTGTCTTCTCATATCCAGTGTTATCTCAGCTTGACAGGTGAGGTTACCTCAGCATCTTGTCACTTTCTCTATTGTAAACTTTTCTCAAGTTTTAACAAGTGTTAAACATCATCTCAGCTTACTCTTCTCTTCTCAGACTTAATCATCTTAGGCCGAGATCTTGTCTTCTGGGATCTGAGATCCGAGATCTAGAATCCGGGATCAGCTTACTTGGGCTGAGCTCTTGTCTTCTCATATCCAGTGTTATCTCAGCTTGACAGGTGAGGTTACCTCAGCATCTTGTCACTTTCTCTAGAGGTAATCCCTCAGATCCTCCTTGGTTCGTCCATGAGCTCGGCTATCTCCGGATTTTAGCCTCTTTGGTGCACTACTTCCTGTGTCATTACGAGTCCTTTTGGACCTCCCTCCATTGGTCGCGTCAAAACAGAGGTCCTTCCCCTGAACATGCCGATGTTCTTTGGAGTCAGCTTCCTTGGTGCGATGTGTCCTTTGTGAATCTCCCCTTCTTGATTCTCCTCGTCCGACCTCCCTTGAAGGCCGGTGAGAATGTTCCTTGGCCCTGTCGTGCTGAGGAGTCGTAGAAGTTGTCTTTTGCCCCCCTACCTGGGCATCTTTCTTGGCTGCTGGAATCGGCGTATCTTGTGACGGGAACGGTGGCTGGGGGTCGTCCTCGTTATAATACTTGCTTCGGTCTGATTTTTTCGGCACGTTGCCCTCCTGGCCGACGTCCTCTTCTCCGTGATTCTTATCACGAGTTTCTTCGTTGTAGTTGTCTTCTTCGACGCCAAGGTCAATATGTTTCCCACTCTCAGTAGGGGTGTCATCCCTAACCTTCTCTTTCTATCCGTCGTTGGCCATCTATTCTCCTTTCTTTCCCACAGATGGCGCCAAATTGTGTGGGTGATTTTCTGACCACACTGCCAAACAGGTACCCAGCTGGAGAGCACCGGCAGAATAGATTAAGCCCAAACGACCTACAATAGAAAGAAGAGTTTCCGGCGGTGGCTCGTCCACCCAGGGGAACTCCGACGATCAAGTCAGTACTCAATATCTCTCAAAGATAACCAATAGTGTTTAACTCACTAGACAGAATATCAAAAGCATATCTTAGACCTATGGGGGTGCCTCCCTTTTATAGCCAACATAATCCTAGTCCCAATAAAAGCCTAGCTTTAATGGACTTAGGATTACTGCTAATCTTGGACTCCCAGTAGAATTAGGATAAACTCTCTAAGAGTCTCATCTTTACCCAAACTGAAGTCTTCTCCCATTCTAGGACTCTTGTCCCTTATCTACTTATCTTGGATTTCGGTATTCTCGCAGATAACCTCGGCCTAGCCGAGATTACCTCGGCGTCATGACCAGGACACGTGGCACCTCGGCTAGAACTTCGGTGACACCTCGGCCACGTGTTGTCATTCAAAAATTATGTCCCCACATTTATATAAACATTTGCATACAACAAACATTTCTTATCCTCTTGTCCACCATGTCGCACACTACAAATGCATCTATCAATATATATATTTATATACACATAAACATAACATCAACATGAGCATTTCCCCTATTTCATTCAAGAAACCCCCAAGTTTCTAGATTTTCACAAAAACACTAACATTTTCCATCTCTTTTCTAAAACCTCATAGCACATCTCAATCTCAACCCATGTGGCTCAATGATTTAAGAAAAATCTTTGAAAGAAAACAAGGACAAATTTCTTCTACAAAACTAACCATTTTTTGAGCCATTAAACCCATTTTTCGAAATAGGCAAAAGTGGGCTCATAAAATC